CTTTCATGTGTATTGACATGAAATCGACTACCATTCAAACACCATATTCGGAATACCATAATTAGCAAAGATTAGGATAACAGTGTGCCAATGTATTCCTACACTGCCTTAACTTACTTGTAAACCTATCTTTATGCAAGATCGTATAGCATAAGAAGAAGGATGCTAAGCCCCAATTATAGCTAAGTAGCAAATGTTCTTTTTTTGTTATTATCTGATCTCCGCACATCTAGGTTTTATATCCTGATCTTAATGTGGTGCGGTTCATTTTTCACCATATCAAGCTATTTGTAAGACTAGTTGTAATTTTAGCATTAAACTGTTCTCTAATAGATTACATATTCCTGTTAACCTTGTCAGCAAATTAAATACATTCTTAGATATTTATTATTGTTGTAACGCTTGATAGCTAAATCCTTTAAACCGAGGGAGGATCTCCCTTCTATTTTTATTGACCATATTCTATTCTTTTATGCGCCTCCATTTCTCAGCCTGCCCAAGTACGAGAAATCCTGGACAAACCTACGTCGAGAAAATCGCGTCTACTCATACGAAGTTCAGATGGACATTCTGGCGGCTCAGCGTGAGCGCGAAGCTAGTCTACGTCAAAAATCCGCTATTTCGGCTGCTGGTGGATTGCGACCAATCCTTGAGCAAATTGGCGACCGGTTGACTCAAACACAACGTGAGACAGTACAGAATGAATTGGATAAAGAGTCAGCCATTAGACACCATATGATTTGGGTAAGAATGTGGTTACATACTCTACTTGAACACTAGAGGAAAGCGTAATAATTTTGTATTGATGTGTTCTTTTTTGACACAAAATTCCTCCCTCCCTCTCTATGGGTTTGTTTATATATTTTCACTATTTCTAGCTCTGATTGTTGAACGTTTTTCTAAGCCGGTTCCTGATTTTTATGCTCCTACTCAGCGAGGCGGGCATATGCGTGCCATCAAAGGCTTGAGGCAGTGTGGTAAATAACGCTTCTAGTAGAACATGAAAGGGTGGCAGGAGTAAAGTAAAATGCCCGAGCCAGGACGGTAGGAGGGAAGAGGGAGACTCTGATAAGGCCTATGGGACGAGGATTGCGGGGTGAAGGGGTGAGAAAGCCAGCGTGGGGTTTTGATAGTTCTCATGATATCCGCTAATAAAGGGCACACCATACTACATTTAGATAAGAAATTGTGATAGTAAAGGGGGGATATGAGGATATAGGATTGGTGAATAGCCCAGGGCAGAAGGCGAGACACCACAATCGTTTAACAGACAATTGGCCACGTGGGAATGTACCGCGTCCACGGCCCGACCCTGAAAATTATCATACATACTATGGACTCGGGACTAGGTGTGTTCCTCTATCTTCCTACCAATATGATCAAGTTTCGAAAACAAGGTCAAACAACTTCTATACAACGAAATGAGACTGCGTCCATACTAAAGACCACATCATCTTGGTCTTCATACCTTTGATTATTTCAGCCTAACCAGGTCTCTGACAATGTGACCAAGTCAGGAAAACGAGATCAAAACCACTTATATGCAACGAAAGGAGATCGTGACCTTTTCTTAAGGTTACACTGTTTTGCTCTTTACATTTTCGATAAAATTTTGGATCATCATGCCTATTGCGTCTAATTTTTATTTTAGACTTGCCTTCGAGGAAATCAAGATATGTATGTTTGTTGTGTGTTTTTATTCTGCAACCTTGTGGAATACAGTCTCCAACTCGGCTAGGGCTAACCACAATCCCAAACTAGAATCGAACCTGAAAAA